TAAGGTTGAGACATTTTAGGTTTATAGTAATGCTGTCAAACGATTAATCGCATCCAAAATAAAAGTTTTTGTTCTAATAATATATGTGCGTGTACAGTGTATATTTATTATGTATATATAAATACACCCACATACAGTATATATTTTGAAAATATTTACATGCATATATTTATATTCATATAATTTAATTTATATATAAATATTTTTAATATATAAACATAAGACTTTTTTCTTAAGCATATACATGCATGTGTGTGTATTTATATATACATAATAAATATAAACAGTACACTCATATATGTTATGTAAACAAAAACTTTTGTTTTGGATGCGATTAATCACGATTAATCGTTTGACAGCACTAGTTTATAGTTATGTTCACAAAATATTTACACTACCGTTCAGAAGTTTGAGGTTGGAAAGGTTTTTTAATGTTTGAAAGTCTCTTATGTTCACCAAGACTGCATTTAAAAAAAAAAATCAAAAATACAGAAAAAAACAGCAATATGTTTTTTTGTGAAATTATTACAATTTAAAATAGTTGTTTCTTATTTTAATTTATTTTAACATGTAATTTATTCCTGTGATGGTAAAGCTACTCAAAAAAAAAACTCTTCAGTGTCAGATGATCTGTCAGAAGTCATTCTAATACACTGATTTGCTGCTCAATAAATATTTCATATTATTATCAATCTTGAAAACAGCTGTGCTGCTTCATATTTTTGTGGAAACTTTCAGGATTCTTAGAAAGTTCAGATGATAGAACGTTCAAATGAACAGCATTGAAATGTAATGGAAACTTTGACAAAAATGACACTTTTGATCATTTTAATGCATCCTTGCTGAATAAAATTATTAATCTATTTAAAAAAAACTTACTGATATAAAAAACTTAACTTACACTACCATTCTATATTTTTGAATGGTAGTGTAGATATATTTTTCCATGTATATTACTAGTGTATACATTTGTTTTCTTTTTTTATGCCAATAATGTAACATTATTAATATGTATTCATCAGTAAGTAATAATCAGAATTCATCATAAAAAAATTAAACCATATATTACTAATACATAATATAATACAATAATACTATTACAATTTAAAATTAAGTCCTAAAAAGTTAAATCAATCTCTTTTTTTTTTAAAATGCAAAAATACATTTAGGCCACATTGTAATGCGTATGAAAATTAGAATTTTTATTTTTTTAGATTTCCTTTAAAATTGGCTAAAGATTACATTGAACTGTGTTATTAGATTATTAGTGTTTTCAATGATTAAAGGAATGAGCATAATTATTCAATATCCGATATCAACTAAAAACTGATATGATATGTCTTTCAGAGCATTATTTGAGATTCAAGATTTGAAGAATAAGATTTGAGACTTGACTGTGATTTTATTTGAACCCACTTGTGACTGCTCAGTACAGCTCCTAGAGATGAGTGAGTGCTCTTTTCTCTGTGGACTAGAGAAAGGCACAGATATGACAGGCCTCACTGAATAAATAAATGAGACCGGCCAGCTGTGACACTGTTTGTGATTCGCTCAGTCTGACAGGACCTGGGTATCTCCCTCGTTCTCATCTCTCCGGTCCTCCCATCCCCCTTTTGTTAACCCACTTTCTTGTCTCTTTGTCTTTCCTCAGCACGCACCTGGTGTACCCCGTATTCTTGTGGGTAACCGGCTGCACCTGGCGTTCAAGCGACAGGTCCCCACAGAACAGGCACGGGCGTATGCAGAAAAGAACGGCATGACGTTTTTCGAAGTGAGCCCTCTCTGCAACTTCAATGTCATCGAGTCGTTTACAGAGCTGTCGCGCATCGTGCTGATGAGGCATGGCATGGAGAAGTTCTGGAGACCCAACAGAGGTGAGTCTTCCTCAATAGACCGATGATACACCAACATCTCTTCACTTTGAAATCAATGAAAAAGTGGCAAAAAGGTCCATTCTTTCTGCTATTTTAGAGCGTAATCCCACAAATACTGTGGAGATCTTTGGTTTCAGCCTTCTGGGTGATGCAGGAAGGCTGGCATGATCAGCATAGCTTTCCATTAGCATAGGAAACTACACTGTATGTCGTCCAGAGCCGCGTAATTAGAGGCAGAAGGCTTTCAGTGAAGCACTTCTTTCTCTGTCTGTTTCCACTATTATGTGGGATTTTCCCATGAGACCTCACAGTGCCACAGATGAGCTGTTTAGCAGAAGCAGCATCCTGCAGTTCTGAGAATGGGAAGCGCTTTCAACATGCCTTTCAAAATAGCAGCGATTTACACTCTGTATTGCTCTCCTAGGCTGTTCATGCAGGAGCAGAAAAGATTCTATTCTATTCTATTCAAAGGTTTGGGGTCTGTAAGAGTTTGTTTTTTGAAAGAAATGTATACTCCTATTCAGCAATGGCAAGTTAAATTGATCAAAAGTTTCAGATATTTGTAACACCGAAGTTACAGAATATCAGTTACAGAAGATTTCTGTTGCAAGTAAATGTTTTTTTTTTTTTTAGCTTTCTGTTCAAAGAACCCACAAGTTATTAAGCAACACAACTTTTTATAATTGGTAATAATATGAAATGTTTCATGAGCACCAAATTGGCATATTAGAATGATTTCTGAAGGACTATGTGACAAGAATAAATTACATTTTAAAATATTTAAATTGCATTTTAAAATGTTAATTGTAATAATATTTCACAATATATTTTTTTTTTTTTTAGCTTTCTGTTCAAAGAACCCACAAGTTATTAAGCAACACAACTTTTTATAATTGGTAATAATATGAAATGTTTCATGAGCACCAAATTGGCATATTAGAATGATTTCTGAAGGACTATGTGACAAGAATAAATTACATTTTAAAATATTTAAATTGCATTTTAAAATGTTAATTGTAATAATATTTCACAATATAATTTTTACTGTACTTTTGATAAAAAAATGCAGCCTCAGTGAGTGTAAGATATTTCCTTCAAAAACAATAAACAATACTGACCCCAAACTTTTGAATTATATCAAATATATCATATCATTTCATTTCATTTCATTTCATTGTTGAAGGCTTGCTAACAGCACCATGTAGTTGCTTTGCTAAACATACCAAATGTCCTCCCCAGAGGTTTTCCTTGTAGATCACATTCTAACAGTTAACTAATATTCCCATGTCAGGCTTCCCATGTGAATCTCATTTGCATTCGACTCCATCTGAACTGAAATGCTGGCAGTGTGTTAACATCTGCGGAGGGAATGTTGAATAATTTAAAACATTCTCATTACTTTTGTAAAGAGAATAAAAAATGATCTCAGCGTGCAGATGCATGGAGGCAGCTACTGTTGAATCCCTGGAGTATCACATGCTTATTTCTTTAGTTTTTATGGTTCGATTATGTAACCATTCAGTTTGGTTCTGATAGCCTTTGCCTTGTAACTCAAGTGTGTGTGTGTTCTGTCTTTGTGTCATTGCAGTATTCAGTCTGCAGGACTTGTGCTGCCGTGCCATTGTGTCCTGCACCCCTGTGCACCTAATCGATAAGCTGCCGCTTCCTGTGGCCATCAAGAGCCATCTGAAGTCATTCTCCATGGCGAATGGCATGAACGCCGTCATGATGCACGGACGGTCCTACTCACTAGCCAACGCCGCCGGAGGCAGCAAAGGCAACAGCCTCAAACGCTCAAAATCCATCCGGCCGCCTCAGAGTCCGCCACAGAACTGCACCAGGAACAACTGTAAGATCTCCTAGCCTCTGGGCACAGGGGCGGGGCCGCCCCCCTCCCTTCCCTTACATAACACTCAGGTGCACATGGACAAACACACAAGGAAACCGACACGGGGCTGGGCCGATGACGCGACAGAGGTGTGGTGCCTCCCGGTGTGTGGAAAGCAGGATGTGAACACTTCCTGCCACCACAGACGGCTATATTTCTCCCCTCACATTGCTGCAGTACAGTTGATTCCTCACTCACAGGTCGTGAATGAAAACAAACCCATCATCAGACTCTGATTTTGTTGCAGTGGCCACCGACAGCATGTTTCCTACCGCGCTAGCGCCCTCTGCTGGAGAGTTCATGCCACTCTAACCCTGCGTTGGCTGAGAGGCCTCCTTTTGAAGTTGTTTTGTGGGCTTATAATACGCTTTGGTTGTTCTCTCTTTTGCTCATACTCATTATGCTCAGTGCTCTGCATATGGTGTTCCTCTTTTTTGCTCTTTGTAGGGACCTGTTCTCCCTGCAAAAACTGAAGTACCTCGGTCACATGGTCTTGCATGCTTACCAACAATGAGAAGAGGGATGATGCGAAATGACATGTAGTGCTTAAGTATGAACTGATGTATTAAAAATGGGATTTGCACTGCAAATTGGTGGTCTCTGAATTTGCTGGTCGTTTGCACAATGACTGTGTTGTTGAATGTGGACTGTGGGACCACTAGGCTGAGAGCGACGGCACAAGCATTTCCAGGCACCTTCTGTTCACAATCTTTCCTCGCTGAAGATCCAGAAAATGCCGTTGTTGGGTCGGAACTGTCTTCTCCTTAAACACGGATTACAGGAAATTTCTCCTCAGGGGACAGTATTGGCAAAGGTTTTTTTTTGTCTTTGTTTACTCTCGGCTTCTCCTCGCTTTCTCTGTTTTGCTTTTTCCTGCATGTCTTGTGGGATTATTTGTCATATTTACAATAGTTTTAAGCTTATACTGTACTTGCCTCTCTTCTCATGTCCAGAATTCAGTACCACAACTGCCTTGCAGCCCGATTTTCTCACTCAAACCCACACATTTCAGTACTTTCCCATTATACTTTCTGTGCAGTTACAAGTTTCCACCCTTTTCCGGCTAAAATGCACGATGTTTTCAAAGTTTTCAGTGTTGCAGCATGAGTTCAAAAGTCAGGTTTTTTATTTAATCTGCATATACAGCATGGCTTCTCTATAGATGTATGTCAGAATGAAGGATAATAATAAACCCATTCAAGCTTGCTTCTAAATATCAAGCACAAACAAAACAAGTGGAATCTACAGCACTTCCTTTTGCTTCTCCCAACGCATTTCTTCCAGACCTGATGAGCTGTAGTTATTGAATAATGGATGCTCTTGTGCCCTTATTCTGGTGTTTGTCGGGCTAAAATCTCCACAATTGCACTCCACTCTTTCTGTTGAGTACAGTATTTTACTAATGACAACTAGATGCAAGGAGGAAGCAGAACAGACAGAACACATGAGAACAAGCACCTGAGGTCTGAAGGATGCCATTTCCCTTCTCCTCTTCACATATCCAAGGGCAGCGTATTCATCCAGTTTGGGTTGAAATGTGGTGTCTGGTCAAAGTCCTACATAACAGAAATTAACATCAGAATGTTTAAAAATGCTTTTAAATGAGCAAAATGAATTTACAATAGCAACTTGAGCAGAACTGATCAAATCCATAAGCTCCATTTCAGCTTTACTCAATATATGAGCTATAAATAAATGCTGTAGGTACTTTTTTCTGCTTTTACAGGCCATCACAACAGGTGAGATACATAAATCTAGCTTCCTGTCTGTTAAGTTGTTGTGGTGTTTGAAGGCACAGCCCCTGGCAGTAATCCTCATTAGGTAGGTGCCCTTATTCTGGTGTTTGTCGGGCTAAAATCTCCACAATTGCAATATGTTTCTCTTTCTGTTGAGTACAGTATTTTACTAATGACAACTAGATGCAAGGAGGAAGCAGAACAGACAGAACACATGAGAACAAGCACCTGAGGTCTGAAGGATGCCATTTCCCTTATTCAAGCTTGCTTCTAAATATCAAGCACAAACAAAACAAGTGGAATCTACAGCACTTCCTTTTGCTTCTCCCAACGCATTTCTTCCAGACCTGATGAGCTGTAGTTATTGAATAATGGATGCTCTTCATTTCATCAAACCTCCCAGCAGTCTTTTCCCCCTCTCTCCTCCACCCCTTCATCTCAGGGATGAGCCCTGGCCTCCAGCGGCAGACCTGCCCAATGAAGCCTGTTTAAACCAGACTGAGCGATGGGATGCCTGCAGGGGGCCTTTAAACTTCCCCAGAAGGCTGTGAGCTCTCGGTGTTTGACCTATAAGCCTTTTGCTGTCGTTATAGCTGATAGAATGATCTTGGCACATGTTGGCAGTTGTGCGTATTGGTTTCCATCTGTTGGGTGACGTAAATACTATAGGGTCCACAGAAGGTGTTATTGCAAGCCCCACCCCCCTCTTAATCTTTGAATCCCAAAAGGTTGTAGTAATAGAAATACTACAAAGAAGTGGTTTTATTCCTTTTTGGGCACCTGTAGGTATTAGTTTAACCCTCTCACCTGAGAGCGATGGTTGTTCTTCTCTGTTATATGCACATCATATTGTGCAAAGAAATTCTGTGACTTAGTTAGAAGGTTCCATTTCAACTCTTGTGTATTGTAAAGTGTTTTTCCTCTTTGTAACTGAAGCCTCTGATTATATTTTAAAAAACACGCTCATGGTTTTTAAGTCAGGCAGTGTGATGGGACCCTCCTGGTGTTGCCAAAGGGGTGGTTTCTTTAGTTCTGTGTGAACAGGATAAAGGGAAATGTGATTTGGTGGAGCAGTAGGAACACAATTGTAAACACTATTTTCCTTTGGTTGAAGCTAAAAGCTGCTGAATTAGTTGCGTAATTATCAGAAGTTCTTGCAACAACAACGAAAAACCTATTTTTTTTTTAAATTATTGATTGTACCGTTCTTAGTGTATGAAAAGCAACAACTTTTTCACAATAAAATTGATAATGTTATGAGTAAAACAAAGCTTTGAGGTTCTTTGCATCCAACATGCTCTTCACAGATGACACTTATTTACATATTAAAATATGTATTTGTTGATATTTACACAAATAACACTTTAATCGGAAGAAATTATTAGGATGTATCAGAATATGTGTTGAGGAAAATACAATCAAATTTCTAGAGGTAAAATGTTAGTTTTTCACCTAGTACAGTGGTTTTCCTACTTATGAGGAAATTATGGAGCATTACACATGAAAAAAAAAACTTATTAATATTTGTTCTCTTGTTTTAGTCATAGCCATTATTTAACTAAATTAAAAATGAATGAAAATTAAATGGTACTACATGGCCATGATTTACCTAAAATAAGGGAACAAATGAATACAGTGTGATATTGATTTAACTAAAACAAGGGAATGAATTAATAAAACATGGCCATGCACAAATAAATCTTGGGAACGCGTTCTTAATTTGTGACCAGACTATCTCATTTATTTCACACATACCATGTGTGAGACTCACTGTGAAAACACAGTGTCACCTACTAGACAAGCACAAAATGCAATTCTTATGCCATTCCTGCTAATGTTTCCAAATCATTCCTCTTCCCATTCAGTAGAGAGATGATAGTTGGAATTTTCGAAATAAGTTACAGATTAATGCAATATTTACAAAATAAAAGCATTTACAGTATAAAAATAATGAAAGAACATATTTCACATATCCAAGGGCAGCGTATTCATCCAGTTTGGGTTGAAATGTGGTGTCTGGTCAAAGTCCTACATAACAGAAATTAACATCAGAATGTTTAAAAATGCTTTTAAATGAGCAAAATGAATTTACAATAGCAACTTGAGCAGAACTGATCAAATCCATAAGCTCCATTTCAGCTTTACTCAATATATGAGCTATAAATAAATGCTGTAGGTACTTTTTTCTGCTTTTACAGGCCATCACAACAGGTGAGATACATAAATCTAGCTTCCTGTCTGTTAAGTTGTTGTGGTGTTTGAAGGCACAGCCCCTGGCAGTAATCCTCATTAGGTAGGTGCCCTTATTCTGGTGTTTGTCGGGCTAAAATCTCCACAATTGCACTCCACTCTTTCTGTTGAGTACAGTATTTTACTAATGACAACTAGATGCAAGGAGGAAGCAGAACAGACAGAACACATGAGAACAAGCACCTGAGGTCTGAAGGATGCCATTTCCCTTCTCCTCTCATTTTGCAGTTTATTCAAGAGAAATGCTTTGTCGTTTCCTTCCTGACAGGCAGATGGAAGAAGAATGGAGTCAGTGAGGTTAAAACTATTATCCATATATAGTAGCTTTTGGTGACACTGAAGTGCAGTGGATGCTAGAGTGAGGTTCGTACGATCTCAGCACTCACATTCACAATCCCCTCTCGCAGAGTCTTGATGAGCTGTTTCCGTCCCTGAGTGATTTGCCAGAGAAAATAAGTGATGACTCTGAAAGAAGAGAGAGAGGAATGAGAACAGATCAGAAAGTCTCAGATCTGCCCAGGGGGAGAAAAGGTTTCCTTGAATATCTGGCTGTAAAAATGGATGTTTCCTATGTGAGTAGTTCACAAAACATCCAGCTTGTGGACTTACAGGACGATGAGGCTAATCAGGTAGTAGAAGAGTTCACTTCTCAGTATGTTTTCAAATATCCACCCGACCCAGTGATTTTCAGGCAAAGAATCAGTCCAACTGAAAACGATGTGGAAGGGGGTGTCGAGGCCCTGGAAGGGCCCACACTGATCTGAAGGCTTCAGACTGCAAGACAACCAGAAAAAACTGTAACATTGGGGTCTGTTCACACAACGCATTTTATGACCCATTGCTTTTGAATTGTTTTTCTATGTAAACAATGCACTAGACCAGTGGTTCTCATAATTTTAATGGCAGCGTCCCCCATTGTCCATAACAGTTTTCAAAGGCCCCGTGACCAAATGTTCATGATCTACTGGATAGGGATTTACAAACTTTTTTAGGCTCCCATTATATATTTGGTAATTTGGCATAACTGCAAAATAAATGTATATTATTTAAATTGAAATGTTACATAATTTTTTACATATCTTTTCTACTGTACGTTCAGAAGATAAGATAAGATGGTCTTATTTCAAATTGTTTTAAATAGTCTTGAAGTGCCCTTGGAAGCAATTCATCTAAACGGATGTCTTTGACCGTTAACGCACCTCTCACTTCTTTTTTTTTTTTTTTTTTTTTGAGTCTCACGCACAAGTGTCTTTCCTAAAACGCAGTATCAAGTTAAAAGATGTTCAGCTTTTAAAAAAAAGTGTATCTTAAGACCCTGCATTTTTTTCCATTCCTCTGTGCTGCATCTCACATTTTTTAAAGGCAAGAATGCAAATGGCCTTGTTTACACAATGCAGCCTATGATTTAAAACACAATGTTTCTTTTTAACTTGACACAGTTACCCATTTAGTTCTTTTCATGAACATAACAAGAAAAACAACAAAATTTTAATAAATTTGACATGGTATTTTAAAAATATGGCACTTGCGGAACAAAGTGTCCATCGAGCGCATGTTTACATAAAGAAATGATTAAAAAAGCGGAATGCAAAAACACTTTGCATTTATTATATAAACTGGTGCCGCTCTATAGTCTGTCACCTGAAAAGCAGCTTATTAAGTGTTCCTAAAATGTAAGCACTGTAGAAATGTAACTTGGTAAGAAGGCAATTGATAAACCAAAACTGAAAATATAAAATGAAGGGGTCACACCTCTACACTGTGAATGCTACCATGGACAATGCTCCCACAAACGAAGGGAAGAAGAGTAGGGCAATGAAGACTGTTTGTATCTGAGCGGCTCTGCCAGTGTGTTTGGGAGGCTGACAGTTCATACTCAGACTGATCTGAAACGGGAACCATAAAACTAACAACATGCAATATAATCTTGACTGCAAGGACAAAGTGATGCCATAATGGTGCTTACCTTTTTCATGTAAAAGATGATAAACAATTTTAGGACTTGCATTACAGGAAGTAGGGGGAGAAGTAAATTCCAATCCTGGGCAGACAGGAAGAGAGATAAAAGAGACAGTGCAATCAGCTGGAAGGAATATCAAAATATAGAGCTGAAAAGATGCAGATATTGACTTACCAAGCCAGAGTCTGGGCATAGATCAGATCAAGTACATTCCTAGCAATGTCAAACTCTGGGACGCCAAGACTCTGGATGCACATGGTTCCGATTACACTGTAGCAATTTTGAAAAAGTGAAATGAAAGTGAATCTATTGATTCTGTGCCATGTGTA